TTTGCAATTTACAGCATCCTCGTATATGAGATTTGTGTCAAGTAATCCCCAATACTGTAACTTAAGTGAGTCAAAATACAACGTTATAATCTAAAGGTTTTAAGTTCTTGAATGTAATAATGGGCTCTATATTGCCTGTGTCAACAATAAAGTCTTGGAGTGAACCAAGGGAGGTATGTAATCACTCCTGAATATGGAAATTACCTTTCGAAATCGTGGATAAAGATAAACGATCATTAGAAAGCCGAACTACAGTGTTCATAATTCTTAGTGGTTAAATGAGTAGTAGTTTTACAAACCGAATAGATGTGTCCCATTTTACACCACTTATAGCATTTGGCAAGACGAAAGATACATGAATTAGTAAGTGGAATTTATCACAGGATAAGCATTTACCAAACCTGTGCTTACCTCATTAACCTGATTTGCAACTGCTCAGTTAATTGACATCCATGTTTTTCAGGTAAACAAGAATTAACATCACTTAAACGCCCACGTGGATGACCTTAAGTACGAATCGGACTAGAATAACAATGTAATGCAGTAGATTTATTGATGTCATGGAACTAAATTTCATGAACTGTTTCATGTATGATACACTCGGTTCTAACATTTTGGAAGGATCACTTCGGTATTTGTATGAATTCTCCCGCCGGATTTAGTATGTTAGTTTCTGAAATTAATTGGTCACGCAGCTGCACGTGAAGTTGGTCAACATGATTACACTTGGTGTCTTGTTTCTACAACTCAGGGATACATTCTCTAACCTTTTGGCTGTTCTGACGAAACATTTTATGAGATTTCATTCTTCCACAGCATTCAAAATTATATACTTTACACGATTTAATAGTCATTCCTTGAGAAGTGAAGTGAAATAGGCTTATCTGGGAAAGCCAAGTATTTTAGTAAGTTATAGGTATCCTTTCCGATGAGTGTAAGGAAGTGAGCCACAATTTTATCATCCTTGTCCTACTCTAGATTTCAAACCTTTCCATGAGATCTTCGAAAGCCTCAGAAGTTTGGTGTATATCCAACCGTTCAATCACACTCTCCATCACGACGCCAATATGATAATTGGATATATTCGAATTAATAGTACAATATAAGGCAAGTAAAACCAGGTGATCATAAATGAACGTATTATATTTGGACTTCGTATTGAGCGGGTAATCAAGTTAAAAAGAATTATCAGTTAGTATGATTATCATTGTCTGTTGGTGAGGTGTGGGGCAATGACTTCAAACAGATATCATCGTCCATCCTTATTGACAGTATGGCATTTACTTGACTACAATATGTTTTTAGTTACAGTTCTGGGTGTATTTACTCATACAACCTATGGGAGCAAGAGATGAACGAAACGACAGCATGATCATGTAACTCTAAGTTGACTCTAAAGAAATGTAACCTCCGAATCGAGTTTCATGTATGATACTTAAGCTAGCCTCATCTGACTAATAGTGAGATTAAAAAGCCTAGTAGAAAATGCAGCTGGGAGATTATATTTAACACAGTGTAGTGTGAACAGATGAACATGAAGGCAAATAGAAGTGGCTTGAGCCGGATTGTTTATTTTAAAACGGACTCGTATAACATATGAAAAATAGAAGATCGATAAAACGTACCAACACACAGGCAAACAAATCTAGATAAGGAGGAAAAACATATCAAAAGGCTATATGGTTAAGTGCTAATCGTTATTGGCATGCGTCTGAATACACTGAGTTTGTATATATTAACAACGGCAAATATATGAAACTATCGAAAACAACCAACAAGATCAGAACAATTTATCTGTCACACGATTTGCTTTGTTTTACACTATGTAAATAGATAGGTGAATAATCTGCGTCACTAAACCTTCTATGCAATTGCCGTGTAGCAGCTGGTTTGAATGGTTCCTTCATAAATACTTTAAAAGTTACTTCAAAGCGTTTTTATGGATTTGATGTGGCATAATGGTATTTGTTGAAATCATCCGAAGTAAGCAAGCATAAGAAATATGTGTAGTTAGATTTCAGTTTTTATGACATAAACGAATAAACCTGAGTTATACCGCCTGATAACCTTGAGATCCAAACCACTTTAATCGATCAGAAAACAGTAAAGATTTATAAATTACCTACTATACTAAAACTAGATCATAGAATAAGAAATTTAAAATGCTTAAATTAAAACTGATGGAAACTTTAACCCTAACTCTTAATGCTAATGAACAACACATTATTAATTCTTTTGATAAACACCTCATAACCTTAAAGCAGTTTACGCATTTATTAATAACTCAGTGGTAGAGCTCAGGTTTATCTGAAATATTTCCCGTCTGTTTACATATGTGGAAGACGATTGTCAAGATGTTTATGAAATGCAATATTTATTGGATCCTGTCTTTAAAAACTTGGTAAAATTTTCAGTCAACTTAAAGTTCTAAATATTTTTTTAATTAACATTTATTTGATCAGAAATTATATATGGTTTTTTGACCAAGAGTTAAGGATTACAGATTACTAAAGTATGATTTGATCGAATAGAACAATAACTTACATTATTGTTGGAGAATCAAGAGACAAATACAAAAATAAGATATTATAAGACTGATTATGTACAGTGTCTTATAGAATAATAAGAAAATATCGAGAACAAAATAATATGAATTCACTTGGTATTAGTTATTTGAATATTCCCATTGATGTTTAGAACTGCGATTGATCAGTTTCTTATTGGCATATGTGCGTATTGCCTCGATATAGCCGTAATTTAACAACATACATCTTTGCATAAAATATGACTCGTCACTATAGTATCTATACAAATATCTAGTATATGTGCACCATGTCAAGAGTTTGAATAGATATTCTCAACGAACGTACAAGAACTCATTAAAAACGACTAGATCACTTTAGACACTGAAAGATATTTTATTCAATAGTTTTCAAGATTATTTACTTTACATCACCAATAATAAAATCACTTTGCGCTATTAATAAGCTTCAAAGCATTTTTTTCATTTTGTTATATACAAATGACTGTGCATTGGAGAAGTTATTTTGTTAGATGTTACATTTGTTATTGAATTATGTTAAAGAGTTTCTACTGCTGACTATTTATTGCCATTTTATATAAATTTAATAGAAAACTTATCAGTAGATAAGAAGTATATGCGACATAAAAACGTTTTATAGACATAAACTGGCATGTTATAATGAGCAGGAAATTGATTAGACATCCGATGACCATCTCTTATCAATGTGAACATATAGGTTATACTGTTTGTACCTTCTAATTATGATGACATCAACTTCATATCACAGATAAGTGTATAATTTCATTGATTTGGAATCAAACTTCTACTGTTCAGATAATTAATCTTCCGATATTAATTTCATATGAGACTGAGATTATTAAAAAAGTTTCATTAGTAGTTACCATTCGGTCATATTTTATATCGATCGAGACGGTCAAACTTACTGACTTAACACTACAATAATTACTTTTTAACACTTGATCATGCTAAAAATAATTAAACGATACGGGTCGTGAAGAATACCTAAAGAGAACATTTTTACAACAAATAAGTAATCTTAAGAAGAAAACTCAGCATGAAAAGTTTACATAATGAAGTAGAAAGAAAAATCTAATCCGGTGCGGTGGGGTCGCGGATGCGCACTGCTGAGGAGTCCCACGATAGGACGAAACGGTCGTTCAGTGCTTCTAGGTTCTTTTGTGTTGGTCTAGCTTCAATTAACTCATGATCCCAACTACTGAAGTCACTACAATGTTCACAAAACCCCCTTTGATACTAATCAACCTATGTTAATTAGTGACTGGTTTCAAGAGGTATTTCCTGGAGTTCTAGTGGGAAACAGTGACCAGTGGAGTTCAGTCGGGCGTGTTGGGAGATAATAACTCACTGACAACAATAGTGAATTTTCCGCTCAATTTCGTGGATTATTTGAAGTTAGACATTAACACCGTTGAATGTTTACCGGCTCAGTGATCTAAAGTTTAAGCAATAGATCCTTGGTTGGAATCTCGTGAAGTGTGATGATGAATACGCACTGCTGAGTTGTCCCGCAATAGGATGAAACGACCATCCACTGCTTCCATGTTTTCCATGGTGGTCTAGCTTCAATTGATTCGTGATCTCAACTATTGAAAACAATGATTTCTTTATTATTTACTGTATTTTATTTGTTACTGATTACTTTCTGTAAAACAATGTTAGTTTTTCTTTGTTTCTCTGTTTTTTTTCTTCTTTTTTTTACACAACGATCTTATTCAACAGTTATCTTATGTCAAGATTTTTTAAAATAATTTTTGAAAAAAAGCAACTTCTTACTAAGTAAAGTTATTACTATTTTAGTACTTTAGTAAATTGCCATACCATATGATTGAATTAATTTACATTATTTCATACATATATCATATCAATCAACTATCTTTGGATGAAAAAAATAACGAATTATAATATTTATAGTAGTGAATATCAAAACGAAAAGTATTTACAAGTTCATTGTACTTTATTTTGTTTTTCTTTATTTTTCTTTTTTCTTTTTTCTTTTCATTTTATATTTTCTTTTCAATAATCATTCAAATTTCATTAAATTGAAATAATTATTGAAAATTTAATTTTGATAATTTAATAGAAAAATCCCTTTATATTTTATTTTATTAATAATGATAATAATAAGAAAAAATCGATTTATCAAGGTTATGCATTAGTGTGTTTTGTTTTACATTTTTAAATTAACCAATCATGAATATGTAATTCAAATAAGACTCTATAAAAATAAATTAAAGTGTTATATATATAGATATTTGATTATTGAATAATTAAAACAATAAATGGAATATTTTGTTTAAATGTGAAGATTTTTAAATGAATTCTTATCAATAAATCTTTTTTCAAAAAAAAGAAAGATTAAATTGTTTTTCCTTTTCTTTTCATTTGAATAATTTGAATAAAATCAAGAAATTACTGTTTCAACTTTGTTGTTGTTGTTGTTGGAGATACTTAAATATATGTATATATATTAATCACTTTAAATAACTGATAGGTAAGTAACTTAAACAATATTGGCTTATTTTATTGTTATTATTTTAATTCTGGAGGGAATATAAATCGTTTTTTTGTTTGCAGTGATAATATCATAGATAATATAGACTACGTTGGAACTTTTTTTCTTTTTTTCTCCCTGGTATATATTTAGGTGTAAAGTCGGGATTAATGAAGTACTAAATAGTGTTAATACTTAAAATCTTTGAAGATGTCATTATGTTTTAAATCAAATTAAGTTTTATGAGTCGTACACATAGGTTGTGTATAAAATCTTCATTAGATGATTGATTACCATATAATAAAGTATGTTATACTTGTCAAATCTCTAGTACTAACAAAATTTAAATATGCTTGGTAAGCATTAATCCTTTCATTTTTGTAGGTATGCATTGCTGAAGGGTGTCAATATAATGCAAAACTAGATATCAACTAGTTCTAAGCGTAAAACATTAACCTTTTCAGGTCGTAATTTTAATAGAGAAAAACCATAAATGAAAAAAAAAACACATTGATACATTGACTACCTATTTTTCTTTCTGAAAGTTCATTTGATTGATGTAGAAACTGACATCAACCATATTGATTAACTGTGTTGCCTCTTTAAATGTTAACTTATTCCAAATATTTTTTTTAACTGTCTAAGATTGTTCTAGTTGACTTTTCAATAATAAATATTGTTTTTAGTTGCTAAGCACTTACCAGTTTTATTATATAATTTTCCGTTGGATTTTATCATGTTAATGTTAAGATGTTTATTGTTTATCTTAAATATTTAGCCTAGTCTTATAAAATACACTACAATATCAGTTTGTAAGAATCTATTTGATAATATATCATTGTAGAAATCCAAATATTTGTAAACAATCAAATGACAATTCATGAACGATCATTTGTTCTCAAATTTTTAGCTTAGGTTATTTAATCTATTAAAACTGTACTACGGGATTACTGAACACTTTTAGAAATCATAATTCCTTGTAACTTACTAGCAATTAATATAATTTTAATTTCGAACTTTTTATACAAACAGTTCAGAGAATTGAATTCGATAAATACGTGTTATGAATACATGATATGAATTCATTGTTTGTTTAGTTTAACTGATAATTTAGTATGCACCGAGTGAAATGTTAAGACTTGAGTAGATCAATTCAAAGGACTTTTAATGCAGGTAAACTACAACTAATATTCTCCACACATCCAATAATCACTCCAAGGTTGAAAGATAAATTGCCTAGACTAGCCACCTCTTTCTGTATCTATCAATTCAACTGCTCCAATGGATCAAGTTATATTGGCAGATGTTCTAGGAATTTGTACATTCGGACTCATGAGCATCTCCCAGTGTGGTCAAGCAAAGATTTAGTTAGCACGTTTAACAGCTCCATTTGAGACTATCTAGTTTAGACGGAACATACAGCCAACATGGAGCAATCTTTCGGATTAATCTATCGTGTTAACAGCAGTCTACCTAATTCCGTCAAACTGAGAATCCTATAGACGGCTGAAGCCATTGTTATTCGGATCAAAAAGCCAGAGCTTTGCATCCAAAAGAAATATATTCAGCCGCTCCTTTTACCCTGGCCAACTTTGGGGCCAACTAGTTAATAATCAATCTTATAATATGGTGATGTAATTTGATTAATGTTCATTTTATGTCCCAAACTTATTATTATTATTATCTTTGCCATTGTTATTATCATCTTTATTATTATTACACTTGATAATGTTTTTGAGGAATTTATTCAGTATCCATCCCTAAATCTACTATATCTGACCTAATTCATATTATTCTACATATTACGTAATTTCTGATTTTTATTCCATTATTCTCTCTTTCACCTTAATGTTGATCATATTTATTCTGATCATTTATCGCACAATTTCATTTCACTTATAAACTGATTCAAGTTAACACTTCATATTAGTCAGCCCCAAAATTAACGATTTGATTTTATATGACAAACGACAATTCTCAATTCACATGTTACAATTTCAAAATGATTTACTCTGCCTTAAATCTGGCCAATTTTATGGATTAATAATCTGGATTTATGAATTGTAGAACCTGATGAGAAATTCATTGAAAGGAATATTCTTTGTTCATATAATTGTGTTTTAATTTAGTATGAAACAAAGTATACATTTGTATACTTTAAAAGTCTTAAACGAGAGGTTTTTGTTGGGTCGGCTTCCGGAGAACTTCAACGGAGCCTCCAGAGGCCCAAAAAGGAGCCGAAGGGCCCTAGCCAATCAGAGTATGATGGAACATTCAAGAATTCCAGCGTGGCGTGCTACCATTGGTCGGTAGCATAATATGACGTTAACGGATTGGCTGAAATATGATGTTGATTTAACAGACGCCAACATCAATAAATGCCCTTGATTTTCTGTACTAAAATGAACCTTGGGATAAAGTGTTTTCTCTGGAGTTCTCTCTGGAGTTCAAGTCGCTGTGTAGTTCTAGTCTGCGGGTTACGGGAATAGCATAGGAATCGTGTATAGCGTTCAACCTACACGACTTATCAGTTTTGGCTTTAAAAAAGAAAACATCATTCAAATTTTAACGTTTTTAATCAATATCAAAATGTATAATTTTCTAGTTTAATCATGCATAGCAACTATAAATTATTTCTATAAAACGTTTATCTTTATTCAATAAATTTCTTAGAATTATATTCCCAATTGATGAATTGATTTTTAAAAGAAAACATTTTGATTAATTTCTAGATCACACAATATACCCATTTCATTTAAGTGTAGTCAATACATATTCATCTTTATTGTTAATACTTTTAGAAAGAAATAGTTAGTTATAATCCATGTTGATTAAATCAAAATTGAATACTGAACTTCATCAGTTAACTCCACCTGAAGCCCCTCTTGAGCTAATGTCGAGTTAGGTATGGCGTTAGCGATTTCATCTCGTAGAAAACTAACTGGTTAAAAATAAAACACTAACCAGAAAAATTAATTCAAAAATTAAAAGTTCCATTGGTTATAAACTAAGTTTATTGATATTTATTTGTTTATATTTAATTTCAAACCTATAGGAGTTGAGTTTATTCTCTATTCATGATAAAGTTTAATGTTTATTGGGTATTTTCATAAATTAATTCAAGTAGACATTGTTTATCGTTAAGTTTTATTTCAGTAGTCAATAGGTGTCTCTTCATGAAAAATATTCTTGTTTAGTTATTATTCTTTTTTTTAGTGTCTATTTTACCGTTTGTTACATAAGCTTATTAGTTTTAAATGATTAGATAGTAATTAAAGAGGAAGAATGTCTTTGTAAAATCTCACTGATTGAATTTGAAGTAAATCCAATGTTTTGCCTGGCAATTTGGTCTAAGCTTTTTTTTAAAGGGAAATTATCGAAGAAAATGTACAACTGGTATAACCACCAAATTTTCGATTAGATTGATAATAATAGTTATTGTAAACAAATAACTTTAAAGGTGTCTACATAGTATTCATAATTTGTAAGGAATGGTGCTAATGCACTATGGAGATTAAAAATTATAGTATCTATCTATCTGTCTATCTATGTATAATATATTGTAAATAGTTTAGTATATTAGGATTATTGTGTGTAATTAATATCACCGTGATTTAATGAATAGTTCAGAACGAGAGAAAAAAACCCATATTTAACTGTAAGCTAATTGTAATAAGTAACATGAGTAGTATTTAAAGTGTAATTCAAACATTGCTGTACTGCAAAATTAATCTACAGTCTTATTCAATTATTCCATATTATTATATTAATAGTGGTATGATTGTAACTGAGTGATTATGAATAGACTTTCGATATTGTTACACTTGATAAAGTAATTTAATCAACCTATGTTGGATCACTTATATATATAATCTAATTAAACTTGTAATCATTATTATTTTAAAAGATTGTAATTCTAAGAAATGTTTCAGTGTTACTTTGAAACTAAATTAACAATTGAGTTTAAGCACCATATATAGGTGGTAGACATCGATTTATTTCTACAGATTTTAATTTTTGTTTTTGAGTGTCATCAAGTGGTCGACTTACGTATATATACACACCCTTTCAAGGTAAGCTACTGATTTTCTATTTCAGTATGCTTATACTTATATAATGTTAAAAATAATAGTTGAATACATTGAATGAGTTAATTAGTTGTTCAGTTATAAATTCATTTACTTTAGTAGTTAATAATATTCAATATTATTATGATGTACAATCTATTTATCATCTGGTTACTATGACTACAAATTATAAACAGGAGACACTAGATTGTTTGAACTTACCCATTACAAAAATAGTTATAATGTCTTCATGTAGAAATTGCAGGAGACGGTTAATAATTTTATTAAGTACATATTAATGATATTCTCATACATAAAGGCTTCAGAATTTCGAATATAATAAACTAAACATATATGAAAGATCTTTACTTGGTCAATCAAATGTTTAGCAACGTATCAATATAGAAAAACAGTTTTTTTAATATAGTAAAGTAAATTTCAAAATATATCATTCCTAAATAAACAAATCTCATTATTGATGAACTTCAAGGATTCAGATATAGAAACCTTTTGGCGATCTTGTTTTGACAAATAGATATTTTCCATGTTATTTTCTGATTGATTATTTGAGTAGAAACTTAAATAACTTAAGTAGATACTATCACTCTTGTTTAAATTCGATGGTTTCAAACTGATATTTTATGCAGAATAAGAGTAAATTAGTCTGGATACTATGAAAGTTAATCATTTATTTGTAAATATTGATTGGCAGAGTTAATTACCAATTATCTATATAGGGTTGTGGGAATTCTTGAGTTTTTATTGAGAACATAAACTGATCAATATTAGACCATCATTGAAAACCTAGAAATATTGAGCTATCATTTCGATCTAGCATAGGACTCCTCGGCAGTGCGCATCCACGATTCTAAAAACCGAACGTCTTGGATTCGATTCAGGCATGCAGGATTCTTGATAAAGGGTCATATGACATGGTTAGCCTATGTCGCCTAAAAGAAGTTGGAGAAACAATCAATTAATCTGAAGTTGAAAAGAGCTCCGAATTATCGTTTATGAATTTTTGTATGCAATAAAAATGTTTCGTACGACTGTATTAAAAGGATTCCAGTTGTTACATAAATAGGTTTGTTCATAGCCTGTTCATTTCTACCTAGAATCAAGTTTCGAATTCATGAAATAATTAAAACATTTTAGTGTCTCGGTATTGAACTTAATTTTCTGTAATTCTAGGAAAAAAAGTGCCAATTGAGTCACTGAAAGATTGGCGATCTTTGTAAGTTATCTTACAGAAATATAGTGTTTTAAGTTTTTGAAAAACTTCATGAGGCTTACTACTAGTTACATTTATGTTTGTTTGAAGTTGTTAATCTATTATTTTCCCAATAAATACTGTTTATAGAAGAAATTAGTTTATTGTATTTTCATTCAATACACTTTATACTTAAATGTTTAACGATGAACTAATTTTCATCTAACTACTTTTAATTATTACTAGAACTAGTGAATTGTTTTCATTTTAAACATTCCCTCAAATGCCCTGTTACGACTGAGAGTGGGGAGAGTACGCTATCTTTCTCGAAATGCTCTCACACGGCCACGTGTATACAGCCACTTTCAAAGAAGTTCTACCCACTGTCTTCTCGTGGAGGGATTGTTGTTGACGAAATGGAGAGGGATGAAATGCGAATGTCCGACGCTTTAACCGGGTTAACGTATATTGAGGGTCCACCTAGGGGAGTTGAGAAACGCTAATTCCAAACCGATGGTGCACATGGGCTTCAGTATCCTAAAGGAAAAAGTAGCGTATGAACCAATTATTGGTCACCGACTACCATGCGACTGCATCTCCTCACGTTGCTCCACTCCCTTGTGAGTGAGACCTTTAGGTCAAATACTCCGGATGTGGCCCCTAAGAGAACCACCTGCTTCGGTTTGAGCACACGGGCAGTATCATAAACCACACAGAAATCAAATGATTTATGTGGCGCATATGTATTCGGTGCCTCTTTGTACCAATATTTATATACTGAAATAAATAACTAATAAAAATAACTTAAATATTATCGTTTCTTTTAGTCCAATGGTTTATAGCACTTCACTTACTAAAACGTATTCAATAATACATTCTCTGTATGATTTAATGAACGAATATATGTGAATCCATGGAAATAGAGGATACTTCTTTTTTCTAATAACACAATACAGATTTTATGATAGATTAATATAATTTAGAGAATCATTGGAAATTTGAGAGTTTTGTAGTGAATGAGAAGACAAGTGGGGACAATCGAATATACTTCAACAGAAAATTACAGTATGTGTTAGTAAAATCTGAGAACCACAGAGTAAATATTTCATTTGCAAAGTGTCAATCAATCGTCTGAGAATTGGTTGTTTCTTCATTTCCACATCAATCATTGTCTGCTCTCGTTGTGTTTTCTCTGATATTGATAAGTTTCTGCCACCAGACATCTGACTTTCGGTTGATGATATATACTACTTATATCTATTGACATAAGTAGCACATACCACAGTATTAATTAGCTCTTTCTAATTATCCAAATTTAAACTATATAAACAGTGTAATATGAATATTGCATTAGAGATTAGCAAGCTTCAATATTAGTAATATATTCTTAAACATATATTCGAAAATTCAATCACTTTCATCCCATACTTCTAGGCAATTTGCATTACATGAGATTATTTCAAATATCTTTCATTTTTTAATTTCTTCTTCATCCAATGCTTCCAGATTATCCATGATGGTCTAGCTTCAATTGATTCATGAATTCAATTATCAAAATCACAATGAAGTTTATTGAATAGAGAAAAGTACTTTTTTTCTTCTTTCTCCTTTTTTCTCTCTCATTGAAACCGAATTTATTCTACATATTAAACATTTACATTAATGATTCATTTAACTAACGAAAGAAACACAAAAGATTAATTGAAGTTATTACTATTATTAATAATCATAATTTATATGGTTATTTAATCTTAATTTAATTATTTAATTAAATTAACTTTATATAAATTATATATTCATATATGAAATTGATTTAAGTAGTTTAAATATATCATTTAAGTAGTTTATCAATTTAATCATGTGAATGCATTAAACTATAAACATTCTTCTTTTCTTTCTATCATTCTTTTTTTCTTTTCTTTTCTTTTGCTAATTAATTCATTGTTTTATTTATATTTATAGACTAAATGTTCCATTAATAAAATACATAATTAATATTTAAATTTATAACGAAACGTTTCAAAAAACACAATATCAAAGGTCAACATCAAATAGAAAATGTCTACTGATTATATACTACTGACAGTAAGTTCATTTTATTATTTAGTAATAAATTTTTAAAAAAAAGTTTAATTAATTTTTAATATTTTGCATTGAAAATATTTCATTAATTATCTATCTGTTCAATATAAAGCTTATTTGGTTTCATTTCATGTTAAACTTCACTTTTTACATTCTCTCGTTTGTTTCTTATAACTAAGAAATTAATCTAAAATAATTATCAGAATGGGTTTTGTGGAGATTTTTAGAAATTTCACTGGCGCAACTTCGTGGATTGGTCGAAGTTAAACATTAACACCGTTGGATGCTGGCTCAGTGATCTAGTTGATTGAGCGCCTGGCGTGAGACTGATAGGTCCTGGATTCGAATCTCGCGGCGGGCGGTATCGTGGATGCACACTGCTGAGGAGTCTAATCTAAAATAAGCTTTCCTTATAAGTTAAAATCCTAGATATGTCAATAAATGAAATTTGATTCTGATTGAGTTTGATCTTGAAAACTTATAGAATTAAACATTATGATTCAAAGAACTCGATTCTATAGAAATCGTTTTTCTAAGCTGAAAATTCCCTGGATTTTTTACAATTTTACCAAGTAGATTAAATGTTTCATGCTCATTAAAAGACTTGAAGATCATTGGTTATATCCTATATGATATGGTTAGTACTCACTATCTAGGCGAAGACGAGTATTCAATGGGTACTAGTTTTTGTTATCATCAAGCCGACTATAGTTTTTAACAAAACGTACTTTTGAATTCAACAATTCTTAAATGCATCTTGAGATAGATTACATATCAGAGAACTAATTCAATTATTCCCTAATGATATTTATTAAACTGTTTATAGAATAAACAATCCAATCTCGGACATTGAATTGTTTGTAATCAAATAAAATATTTAGTAACATAATCAGTTATTTCAACAGTTACTTTTGTTTAAATTACAAGTAACAAAAAAGAGATCCACTGGAGTTGATAGAAAATCCATAAGTCATTTAGGTGTTTTGGTAAGTAGTACATAATTAAGTTACTTGAAGCAATTACAGTGATTAATAATAAACATATTTTTGTTATATCTCAATGAACAGGAAAATTGTAGTGTTTCGTGACTTAATGTAAGCCACTTCTTCAGAGTAACTGAGTGTCGTACTATATATTTACTCCAAAGAAAAAGCTTACATTAAGTTATGAAATATCAGAAATACAATTTTTCGACTCATTGAGATATAACAAAATATATTCATTATTAACTCTCTACCCAATGTTTAATTTATTTGAAACCATCAAGTCCAACCTCGGTATTGATATGAATGATAGTAATTATTCTCTAGTACATAAATTATTAATAAAAAGTGTCCGGATCCAACCGTTAGTAACTCAATACAATTTTGACTAAGTTAATTATGTGTAACGAAATGTATCTGTGTATACATATATTAGTATGTGTTAGGTCCCGATAAGCATAATGAATGGTAACTTTTGGGGTCCATTTATAGACAAATACTATACGTACATAATTTGTCGTATAATTGTTAAATGACTAAACTATACATATTCATGTCTCTCTTATTATGAGCTTGATTTTGACGTATGAACCGTTATTATACGTTTTACCATTCTTGAATTATGCCCTGTCTATTAGTCACTGCCTCCTACATTCACAGCCACATGTTATTTTCTATGTCATGCTACGTTGTGGTCTGTCTGGTTGATTTATAAACCCAGTATGACTGAAATGAATGATTCATATTGCAGAGGCTGAGACTGGTGTTCTGGATCTAACTACTAAGAAGTCCCATACTAGGACGAAATAGCCGTCCAGTGTTTCTAGTTTTTCCATAGTGGTCTAGCTTCAATTGACTCATGAATTCAACGACTAAATTTAACAATAATTGAGAATTTCTATATTCATGCTGATTTCAATTCAACTAATATAAAAAACATCACTGTTTGATTTAAACCAACTATTTCTCAACATTCTTTTTACATTGTCTACTTCAAAAAAGTTGTTTTTTTAAGCCCTACATCTTTTTAAAGTGATTGATTATCTTATCATGGATTGTAATTTATTTTAATAATGAAACTATTTACATCTGTAGATTATGATATAGTGGTATTTCTATATCAATAAAATTTATAATTTAAATACAATCTACAAACTGCTTGAGTCTAGATTTCATTATTAAATTATAAACAACTTCATAATAATTCACTTGGCATGGCTTACTTGAATCTTCCTATTGATGTTTAGAACTGCAATTGATCAGTCTGTTATTGGAATATGCGCATCCTGTACATACTGCCTTAGTTCACAAGCATTCTAAGGAAAGATGGCTAGTGGCTAGCAGTGGAATCCAGGACGCGAGTTTCGTCCTATTTAGGACTCATCAGTTAAATGCACCTGAATCTCAGATTTGATGTTCACTCTGAGACTGAGTGGCGAACTGGATACCTCTATGGCATTCGAAGCAAACGGCACTGGGTTCAAGTCCCAGAATGAACACTTACTCTGAACTGTAGGTACATCCAGCTGACGAGTCTTTGCATATAACTTCATAGTAATATTAATTGTAAATACAAGAACAGACAATTACACTTTGAAGAATTGATTATTGTCAAATAGAGATGAATTTAATGTCTTTAATTTTCAATCCAAATTATTCATCATTCATAACTCAGTGATATATGTGTTTTTAATAAGAAATTTTCATCTTAATTTAGATAGTCTCATTAATTGATTGAATGAATGATTATTGATGAGTTAATAGTATTTTACTTTGGAATTCTTAAATGTTACTATCATGTATCCTTATGAATAAAAGAATGAATATATTTTCGGTGTTTATTAACTGTGATTGTTTTAAATTCCACATAGTGATAAGATCATAATGATTGGTAATATGACTGACTAGTTAAATTGATAAATCTTCTTTCAATTAAACATATTTTCGCTTCTTTATTTCTTTGAAGAAAGAAAGGTGTATTCAAATCTTTTTGATTGTTTGTAATCACAATTTGTATACGTAACTTAATTTCGAAGTTAATCTGTAATGGTATCATTAAAGTTTATTCTATAAAGGGGATATAATGGATCTATATAAAATATTGTTAATGTGAAAATCAGTTAGAAGTTTTAATGGTAAATGATATTAGTGTTAAAATGAACCAAGTTAAATGAAAGATAATTTATTATTCATTAACTATTCAATATACATGGTGTTTTTTGTTGTTGTTGGATTTTTATTGAGAGAACTACAAGAAACTATAGAGGGATGAACGGTTGTTTTTATCATAGGCTTCCTATCTGAGGATACCTGTAATTACATATGTAATCGAAATCAGGGTGTTACGTTCCAGTCACGAATTTAAATAACCAATAAACAGCAAAGACGAGAAAATTGATACTCTGTGCATAATGGCTGGCTCAATACTAACTAGCTCCGAACGAAGATGATGAACACAAGACTAATGATCACCAGTTCAAGTTTGTAATTATATTTCATACAGAAGTAGTTGATATACTAGTTGACCAGACTGAATCACATCATGAAATAAAAAAATAGCAATTATATACGATCAAGCTGAAAAGTGGCTGAGAGTAGGGGAAACTGTGAATAACAGATTGGAAATAAATTAATAATAGTAAATTGTATGACAATACTTGATGGGTTAATTGAATGTTTATGACAAAAGAAATATATCTATAATAATCTAGTTGCTTATACAATAAGAATATATATATAGTAATAGTCCATAAATTAGTCCTAGGAGTTACCATTACTTTAGTCTCCGTTCAGATATAACACATGGACTTTAAGTTCTTAATGAGCAGGGTACCGATCACATGCTTAGTTGGCGTTCAGTTGTCTACTCTTTCACAATATAACACAATTACTACTCATCATCCAATTTACCCATTGATAACTGGATAATTAGTGAGTGAATTAGAATTTCTAGATAAAAATGGTCATTTCGAAAAAGAAATATAAACTCAGAGGAAGTAAGGAACACATACTCTGAAAATTAGTTAGCTTACTTGTAGTTCGTGCTCTTGTATATGATTAAGTAGTGAACTCTGGTAAGGTTAGAAATAGTTTATGATAGGAACGTATTATGGTGGAAAACATATTGGTTATGATACATAATACAAAATTATTTATAACAAATTTTACTTGTTGGTTAGAAAGAGTATTCATCAGTATTGGATTTTGTAATACTCCTTGATGGAAATCCTTTTGTCTTCAAACAGCCTTTGAAACTGGCTTTGTTGTAATTCACAAACAATGACACAGGATTATTTACATTGAGAATGTGATAGTTTTGGAAGCTGACTCTTTAAGAGAACAATTCAGTAAAGCTCAGTCTTACTACCAGGTTAACATTAATTCTTTGATATTGGTGTGAAGAATAATTTCCAATTAATAGCTAATTAAAGATGAGTCTGTCAATCAATGAGGTTCCGATATATTTAAGTTTATTATCAGCTGTTGCTCAGATTTGTTTTTAGTTGTAAAGAGGGACTGAATTCTTAGTTTTTTCTAACAAATCAAGGGATCAAGCTGTAAGAAGTAGTTGACAAAGTTAACATAAATCTACAGGTGTTTAGTGAAGTGATAAGCTTTATTTACTAAAATAAGACATCAAGAAGTTTATTGAACTTATGATTTCTGCACGAATTGCTACTCATAGATAATTCACATTGAGTTAGAGCCTTCAAACTAGAGATCAAATATACAGAAAAAAAACTGAAAAGTGTCAGAGGAACCGTTGCTATAATAACTGTGATTAAAACAGGTTGATACACATAAAGTCTACTTATGTAAGATGAAGATATAAAACGTTACTGTTTCTTTAATGAATAAGTTCCAAATTAAATTGCTTATTTTGTCTGTGATTTCAAGTATTAACATTTTCAACTAAATAATACGAAAATATGTGCTTCACAAATAACATAACTATAAAAATCATTTTCTAAGACAATATTTTCACTCAAATGTATTCATTCCTTACAAAAGGTTTATTGT